CTAAAACAACAAGGTACCTACCTTAATCGAAATACTTTATTGCTTAAAAATTGCCAACCATTATCTGAGCTTCCAGTAAGTTGTGTCTTCTTTGCTGGGGGAGGCGCTTGCCTCAATGTTGACAGCTGATGACGGAACAGGGTGGCAGGTGCTGAGGGTCAGCTTGGCTGTGGCAATTTTATTTCTCAAAATAAAACCACAATGAAGACTGCCACATTGATGGACTCTTCCTTTCATGAATGGTTTCTCTGTCGCAGGGGACGCTATTTGATAGCATTTTACTCACAGTAGGATTTCTTCCAAACTATCAACCTAGCTGATGGGACATTTTCAATCAATCCTTCATGGTCATTTCGACAGTCTTCACAGCACCTTCCCCAGGAGTAGACTGCATCTCAGGAAACCACTTTCTGTGCTCATCCATGCGCAGCAACTCCTCACCTGCTCGTTTATGCAGCAGCTCTGTCGCATCCTCAGGGCCCACTTCTGATCCTATTTCCCCGGCTGTTTCTACCACATCTGCATCTACCTCCTCCCCTCAAGTCTCGAACCCCTCAAGGTCATCCATAAAGACTGGAATCGACCTCTTCCAAATTCCTAATACCGCTGGTATTCTGAGCTTTCCCCATGAATCATGAATGTTCTTCACGGCATCTAGGACGGTGACTCCTTCCCGGAAGGTTTTCAAGTTACTTCTACCAGATCCATCAGAGGAACCCTACCTATGGCACATATAGTCTTACGAAAGGTACTTCTTAGGCAAGAAGACTTGAATGAGAAATAAAACAAAGAGACGCCCGTGGGTGACTCAGTCGGTTGAGCATCCGACTCTTAATTTAGGCTCAGGTCATGGTCTCTTGGCTCATGGGTTCAAGCCCTTTGTTGGGCCCTGTGCTGACAGCACAGAGCCTGTTTGGGATTCTCTGTCTCCCTCTTTGCCCCTCCTCTGCTTGTGCTGTCTTAGAAGACTCTCAAATACATAGAACAAACTGGTGGTCACCAGAGGGAAGATGGGTGGGTGACAGGGATGAAATAAAGGGAATTAAGAGGATATGTAACTTGAGGTGCACCGAGTAATGTACAGAATGGTTGAATCATTATACTGTACCCCTGTACCCTTGAAACTAGCGTAACACTGTACGTTAATTGCACTCCTAAAGTAAATAGAATTAGCTAACAAAGAGAACACCTGAGAGTGGAAATGCCTCCTTGATCCGTGGGCTGCAGAACGGATGTTGTGTTAGCAGGCACGAGACAACGTTACTCCCACCGGCCAACTCCATCAGAACCCTGGTGTCATCAGACGCAGGGTCAGTAAGTGACGCTGTTTTGACAGGAAGCTTTCCTATTTCTGAGCAAGTCCCAGCAGCGGCTGGAAGCCTTCAGGGCACCAGGCTGTGAGCACACCGCTGTCCTCCAGGCTTTGTCGCCACACGGACCGAGCACGGCACAGCAGCTTCGCCGTCGTTGTGAAGGCCCAGGGCCTGGGAAGGGGCGACTAGGCGCCGCCACAACCTGCAAGTCACCGGCTGCATCCGCCGCGGCCAGCCAGCCAGCCTGTCCTCGGAGGCCTCGAAGCCGGTGCGGACTCCTCTCCAGCCACGCCAAGTCCTCGGAGGGATCTCCTCCCGGCCACGCGAAGTCCTCGGAGGGATCTCCTTCCGGCCACGCGGGGCGCGAGGCGGCGTCTCCTTCCGGCCACGCAAAGTCCTCAGCGGCGTCTCCTTCCGGCCACGCGGGGCGCGAGGCGGCGTCTTCCTGCTGCGGGAGGCTCTCGCCCCGCCCTGAAAACCCGCTGCTGAGCGCAGGCGCCGCCGGGGACTCCCGCGGAGCAGCCCCTCCGTCTCCCTGCGCTGCCGCCTCCCGAAACCACCCCCGCCCGCTTCAGACCCGGCCTCCGCGGCCTCCTCACCTCCCTCAGCCTCCACAGGATGGAGGAGTCCGGGCCTCGCCCTGGCTTCTCTGAAGGGATTGTCCTGGCTTGTCTGGGCTTCTCTCCAGACACTAAAACGCTCCCCATGTCACAATGACGCCGTTTTGTTTTCTTACTCTCATCTGCTGTGTGTCACGGGGGCAGCACTCTTGACTTCCTTCAGGAGCTTTTCCTTCGCTGCCACAACTCGGCTGACTGTTTGGCACAACAGACGCCAGCTTTCATCCTGCCCTGTCCTTCCGCGTTTCCCCCTCACTAAGCACCATCCCTTCCAGCTTCCGACTGAAAGTGAGACACCTGTGACTCTTCTGCTCACTCCAGTGCTTAGAGACTATTGTAGGGTTATGAACTGGCCCAATTTCAACACTGTTGTGTCTGGGAATGGGGAGCCCAAGAAGAGGGACAGAGGTGAGGAAATGGCTAGTTGGTAGTGCGGTCAGAACACACACAACATTTATCAATAGGGGCGCCTTGGGGGGCTCAGTCGGTTAAGCCTCCGACGTCGGCCCAGGTCATGATCTCACGGTTTGTGGGCTTGCGCCTCACATCCAGCTCTGTGATGAGCCTCCTTTGGATTCTCTCTCTCTCTTTGCACCCTGCTGGTGCTCTCTCTCTCAAAACAAATAAATAAATTAAATAAATAAGTAATGAAAAAATAAATAAAATGAAATAGTAACGTGCCCTTCCACGATCTGTGCTCCGGCCCCTGCTTTATTCCACTTCACAGCACCCGCTGCCTGGCCACAAGCCATGTATTCACTTAGCTGCCCTCAAGAGTCCTGTTCCGCACACAGAAATGTGCACCGTACCAGGGGAGGGATGCGTTCTAGCTCCCTCCCTGTTGTGGCTGCAGCCGTGCCCAGCACCGAGAAGGGACTGAGGACACAGGTGTTCAGTGTCACTAGAAACTTTTCTCAACTCTTCAGCTTTGTGCCTTTACTTGGACATTTCTTCGAGTCACCATGGGGGAGAAGATGATTCACAGCCTCGGCAGACAGTTCACAAGGCCTTGTTCTTATCTCTACATTGACCAGGAGGGTGAATCAGTAGATTTCACCTTCTCCGTTCTGTATTCAGAGGCTCCTTCTTGCCTCAAGGATAAAAACAAACAAACAAAAAACAAAAAACAAAACCCAAGGAAACAAGAAAACACTGCCTTATGTAGCATCAGATGGTGCCCTAAGTTAACTGAAATCAAGAGCTGAGCATCTGTTCTCACTCTCTCTTTGCATTTTGACTGTAACTACTCTCCCCTCTGGTAGCCAGTGCCATGGCTCACTCTGAAGAGGCAGCAGCAATTAATTACAGGAAATCAAAACACATCGGTTATGTTATGAAATTGGTGTTACAACAAACGTCTCTGCACCAGCTGGACATTCCAAAGGGGCTTTGTAAATATGTACGTCGAAAGCCTCATGAAAAAGCCTGGACTGCGTGTCCACTTGTGACGATTAAAATATTTTTTCTTTTATTATAACCATACACTGCAGACAGGCAATCAGCTGTCTGTGATTCCTCTTGGCAGCAAGTGCTTTATATATTATTAGTATATATAATAAGCTTGACCTGAGCCTTACCAAAGCCTGCCAACAGTTAATTATCAAGAAAACGGCTTCAGTCATTGCAACCTTACTCATCTTGGAGTGTGCCAGTTGGGACCATTTTTATCTTTCCATGGATCTTGAAATTCTTCAAGGTAGAAGGAACTTTGCTCATAGGACTAACCAGGATAAAATATAGAAGAATCTTCAATATGTCCTAGACTTCTATGATAATGAAGTATATGACCGAAAAAAGTAGGATGTATTATTGGGATACCAACATCTTTATTTAGCTTTGTCTGTTCTTGGCATTCACTTGAGCCATGACAATGTGAGCAAAACAAAGCAGAAATTGAATAACTTGAAGGCCTGTTATAACCTCTGGAACCCAGAATATCTAGAAAGATCCTCTTGGCTATTTCCTCACATACTTTACTGATCACACATCTTCCAGTAAAGGTTAAGTCAATCCATTTACCTCCTATGATCACACTGCAATATTCTGGTCAGTATCTAGAATAAAATGCTTGCCCAAAAGCCCCAAACGGCCATATGGCCCTCTAGTACAATAACCGGGAAAAAAAAATGACCGGGGAGCTCTCACATTTTCTTTTCCTTTTTATTTTTTTATTTATTTTGAGAGAGACAGAGGCAGCTTAAGCGGGGAAGGGGCAAAGAGAGGAAAGCAAGAATCCCAAATAGGCTCTCACTCTCAGCACAGAGCCCAACGTGGGGCACGAACTCACGGACTGTTAGATCATGACCTGAGCCAAAACCGAGAGTTCGATGCTTGACCGACTGAGCCACCCAGGCGCCCCTCACATTTTCTATACCGACCTTGGGGGTAGTTTTTAAGCTGGAAGGTAGAGTTGATCCAATTAAGATCAAAGCAATTGGCTAACCCCTGCTCAAACGCTCCAGTTCTGCTTTATGTATGATATGACAGTGGGTATGAAAACCGCATCAGGACTTTCAGCTACTCACAAACCACCATCAAAAGTTCACCCACAAATAACTCCTTCCTTACAGAAATTGCACTGCCATGAGGGTGACATGCGGCCAGAGCAGAGAAACCAAATTATGACCAAGTCATGGTTGGTTACCTTAGAACCATACACAGTGGACTCTTTTCTGACCATTTGTCTCAGACTGTGCAGGGCCAAATTCTGTCGTTGTTGGGGTACCTGATATGTCTACACCACTGCAGTAGCAGGGAAAGTTTCATAAAGGAGGGCTGTTTTCTGAGCACAGGGAGAAAAGCTGGCAACAGACACGAGTGTAAAAGAGGCATTAGAATCTGTATCAGCTCTGTCGTTCCCTAGGGTGGATGCACTGATCCTTTGAAGAACTTGTTTATGATCTACCTGCATTGATCCGCCATCTATAATTGGGTTTCTAGGAAAAATGAAATACTACTTAGGCAGAGCTGTACAGGAACGTGCTACTCAACAAAGTGAAACTTCTCGGTTTGGTGCACGGCAACCAATTACACGAGCTGAACTGGCCCAACAAAGCCTATTACCTACCTGTCATGTTGCAATAGACGAGGGTAGGTTCTAGCGGGCCACTTCCATCTGAGTCGATATAGTAGAGCCCCGAAGAGTCTCCTCTGTGCTTGTGGGCTTCGCAGGACTGCTCATACAAAGCTGAAAAGGACAGGGCTCTCAGCCAGGGGCTGCAACAAGACGGATCCCTTCGCAGTGTTAATTACACGGTGCTTTCCCCAGGGACGCTTATTCTGCACTGCTCGCAGGGGCGTTTTGTCTGGGGGAGGATTCCCCGGTTTCAATCGGGCAGCATGAAGGCTCTGAGGCACGGAGCAAAAGATCTTAAAAGGTCTCACTGTGAGGCTCTGAACCCTGCATGCTCTAGAAACGAGATTCTTTCCAAAACCGTGGTACCTGGATTCACACAGTCTAATTCTATTCTTCCCCGTAATATCTAAGCACCTGAAGTGTGCTGGCTTCATCTCCCTAAGCAATCTGTTATTATCTAATAATCATGTTGATTTTTTAAATTACTCAGGAATTATACTCTTTGCTTACTTAAAACACTCTACATGTGCAAGGCATTGTTTTCAAGATGGGTTTTACAAATCAGCAACTCTTCCTCATTCAGTTTTTTAAAATGTGTTTGAAAAGGAAATTTCCTTAAGTGCTTTGCAAAGGATTATCCAAGAAAACTGAAATTCAAAAAGAAAAAAGTATAGACATGAAATATCGCTTTGTAACTTCAATTACTCTTGATTCTTAGTTGAATTTTTTTATATGTGCAATAAGTGCTTTGCTAGCACATGGCAAGCGATAAACATCTGCAGATAATGGACTTAATTAATATTCCAAATAAGCTTAAATGAGTAATCAACTGAGCAGTATCTCCCGTGCACATCGCTCATCGCCTCGACAGGAAAGACCCTTTGAAAACCTGAAAAGCAGCGAAGAGCCGCCAGGAAAGAAGTGCATTGTTGCTTCTGGAACAGTGTGGACTGGATCTTTAAACCACCCTAAACATGAGGCCCGGCATCCAGGAGCACAGACTCAGGAAGTGGTTGGCCAAGATCCACCACAAAGGGTGATCCTGGGGGGGGGACAGAGAGGGCAGAGCGGGGCCCAGAACTGATGCCCTTCTCTACTCGATGGGTCATCTACATTGCAAAGCCCGGTCTATTTCAAAGAATGAAGAAAAACCCGAAAAGAGGGTGGGAGGGGGCAGAGGGTTTGTTTTTCTCCCTTCTCACAGAATAAGAAGATCAAAGGAATGTTTGCTTCTCCAGGGATGTTACAAAAGGAAACACTCTTTTATTAAATATGGCCAGGTATCAAATGTGTCGAATTAGATCGGCCCAAATCAACAGCACGCCTATGAGCATCGACTTGGATGGCCACCAAGACAGCATGGATTGCTTTTCCCACATGTCGGCTTGCATTTTGCCCACTCATGTTTACGTTTCTATAAATGCATAAACAAGCTTGTAACTGCCTTGGGAAAGTGTCCAGAGGGACACACACAAAGCGATAACAGTGGTTATGCTTGGGTTGGGGCTGGACCTGCCTGGGGAACGAGCAGAGAAGAGGAAACACTAGGAAGAACCTGAGTTAATCATGCACTTACACCACAAACGAACGGCCTTATGATCCCTTACTGTGGGTTTGGAAATATCTCCCTTTCATTTTGGTATACTGTTAGAGAATCATAATACAGTCAATACAGTTATTAGACCGAATCGAATTACTAAGACCTCAAGTGAAAGACCCTATATAATACACCTGTTAATTTTTCTTTTTTTTTTTTTAATGCTTTATTGATTTCTAGGAGAGACAGAGAGAGACAGCGTGAGCAGGGGAGGGTCAGAGAGAGAGGGAGTCACAGACTGAAACAGGCTCCAGGCTCTGAGCTGGCAGTCAGCACAGGGCCCGACGTGGGGCTCGAACCCACGAACCACGAGATCATGACCTAAGCGTAGTTGGACGCTTAACTGACTAAGCCAACCAGGTGCCCCCCCCCCCTTTTTTTTTAAATGCTTTATTTATTTCTAGGAGAGAGAGAGAGAGAGACAGCGTGAGCAGGGGAGGGTCAGAGAGAGAGGGAGTCACAGACTGAAACAGCCTCCAGGCTCTGAGCTGGCAGTCAGTACACCTGTTAATTTTTCAATCAGAGTTGTTTGGGATGATGTTTAAATCAGAGTTACTGGTAATACTGTGGCCATCATTCCTTGGTTGTTAATACTGAGTAGGTATCTGCTTTGTGTAAGACACCTTGCAGGGTGCGATGGGGGGGGCACTGTACGTAAGAGACCACCCCCTTCTTAGCTGTGACTCTGGACAAGTCACTGAGCCTCAGACATCCCAGATGTCCAGCTCCTTCCAGGTAAAGAGGTGCCCTGGAAAATTCTTACCTGGCACCATGATAGCAAATGAAGGTACGATTGCTTTGGTTGAACATATGGGGTATTTAGGGGGGTGAGTCACCTCCCTTTGACTGCAAGAGCCTCCTGGCTCTTCTGTGGAACATCCTGGGCTGGGGACCAGGGTTTCTCAGCCCAACACAGCTGCCTGCTTCTCAGGGGTTCCATTCCCACAAGGTTAGATACTTGACAATCCAAGCTCTGCCTCAGTGAATGTTCACATGGTGCTGTTTCTCTAAAGACCCAGGGAGGGGAGATGTGCCACAAAAGAAGGGGCTCAGAAATGTCGGCAGTGATACACAAAAAAAGGAAAAAGTAGACTAACACCATAAACAACGAAAGCCAAGAACTAGAGAGCAATGAGGCTCCCAGGGGCTCTGTGGCAAGCCTCTAGTAGGTAATGAATTCAGGGTCACGAAAGTTTGGTTAGCTGTGACCTTGAGAGAATAATTCTTCAGAAAAGAGCCTGGTGTTCAAGATGGAAGACAAGGGGATGGAGAGGTGGTCGAGAGTCCTGGCTGGCGGCTGTGTGACCTTGATCCAGGGATCTGACCTCTTTCTTTCCTCAAGTGCACAATGGTAGAAAATAAAACACTCAGCTTCTAGGGTAGTTCTGAGGATCAAAGGAGTTGAAACATGCAGAGAACTAGAGAAAACTAGGATCCCACAGGCACATCGGAAGTTGCCAATGTGTTAACCACCATCACTGTCTGAGCATCAAGATTGTGAGGAACCTGAATGTTTACCCGCCTCCGGCTGACACCTAGAAATGCTGCCATGTTAGTTCCCATCTGGTGCTCCTCTCTGCGACTCCCCTCATTGGGTTTTATAAATATTGACATCTGGTAACTCGCCCTCTTTACTTCGGCAGATACGACTTGAGAACTAAAACTGGGTCCAACTCAAAGAACAGAGTGACACTATCATGCTGTCTAGATTGTTTCTTGTATTGGGAGGTTTTATTATATTTTATTTTCCTGTATTTATTTTTCTTTGCTTGCTGTTTTCTTTTCTTTCCCCATCCTATTTGATACTATGTATTTCTGTAAACTGCCTTAACATCACTAGGAAATAAAACTGATTAAAAATAAACCAGGCTTGGGGCACCTGGTGGCTCAGCTGGTTAAGTGTCTGACTTTGGCTCAAGTCATGATCTCACGGTTTGTGGGTTCGAGCCCCGTGTTGGGCTCTGTGCTGACGGCTCAGAGCCTGGAGCCTGACTCACATTCTGTGTCTCCATCTCTCTCTGCTCTTGCCCCACTTGTACTCTGTCTCTCTGTCTCTCTCAAAAATTACTAAACATTAAAAAAAATAGACCAAACAAACATTGGTCTCTAAAATATTTGCTTTTGTTGTTACTTCCCAGAACATGGTTGCACAGACACAGGCACATATACACCAAATAATGAAAAAGAAAGAAGGGGGCACCTGGGGGGCTCAGTCGGTAAAGCCTTTGACTCTTGGTTTCAACTCAGGTCATGATCTCACGGTTTCGTGAGTTCAAGCCCTGCATTGGGCTCTCTGCTGACAGCCTGGAGACTGCTCCAGATTCTCTGTCTCCCTTTCTCTCTGCTCTTCCCCCACTCATGCTTGCTCACTCTCGCTTTTGCTTTCCCTCTCAAATAAATAAATAAACTTAAAAAAAAAAAAGAAAGAGAGAAAAGGAAAGAACTACGTGGAAATCAGAGCAGAAAGGGGAACAGGCAGGGTGTGAGGCTTACAGGAATGGCAGGTGGCGCCCGTGTAGCCAGTGTGTGCACAGTCACAGGAGAAGGTGTCCCAGGACTGGGAGCATTCGCCCCCGTGTTCACAATAGCTGGGCAAACACCTACAAGAAAACAGATACAACTGCTATTTCCCACATTCGCTCAGGAGAAAATGTGTATCTTCCCACCGACATGTTACAGCGAAAGATGGTAATGACAGTGGCTTGAAGAGAAAAATTACAACATGAACAAAAACTGTTAGATCTGTCAGGAAGTTTTCCTAATGCAGTACCCACCACAAACTAAGAAACCCAGTAGATGCGCCAATTGTCATGTATTTGCGACATAAATTTTCTACATGTTGCGTTATCAAAAAATGTGTTTGCTCTTTCACAAATAAGGCAAGATCCATTTCATACCTGACCAGAGATATAAACTGCTAGCAGTGGCCACGGGCAGCTACATTTGTTCCCCTCTGCTTCCCTGCTCTTGAACCGGGACCTGCGCATCCTTTCACAGAGAGGCATAACCGACTTCTCCACCTCGAATCTGGATTGGGCACGGGACGAGCTCCCACAGATGGGACATTAGCAAACAGATAGAGCAGAGGCTAGAATTTGGGAGACGAAAGACCTATACCTGGAAAACCATAATACATTGATGACAGAAACCCAAAACGACACGAAAAGAAAGACGCGTTACGCTCACGGATTGGAAGAATACTGTTACAATGTTCATATGACCCAAAGCAACCTGCAGATTGAATGCAATTCCTCTCAAAACGCCAGTAGTACTTTTCACAGAACTAAACCAAAAAAATCCTATAATTTACATGAAACCACAAAAGACCATGAAGAGTCAAACCATCTTGAGAAAGAAGAACAAAGCTGGAGATATAATTCTAGATTTCTAACTATACTACAAAGCTGTAGTAATCAAAGAGTACGGTGATGGCACAGAAACAGACATAAAGATCAATCGAACAGAAATAAGAGTGCAAAAATGAACCCACACGTATGTGGTCAATTAATCTATGGCAAAGGAGGTAAGAATATACAGTGTTGAAAAGACAGTCTCTTCATTAAATGTTAGGAAAGCTGGACAGCCACGTGCAAAAGAATGAAACTGGATCACGTTCTTACACTACACATAAAAATAAACTCAAAATGGGTTAAAGACCTGAATTTGTCATCTGAAACATAAAATTCCTAGAAGAAAACATAGGTAATAACCTCTTGGGCATCAGCCTTAGCAATATTTTTCCTCAGGTAAGGGAAACAAAAGTAAAAATAAACTATCTACATCAAACTAAAACACTTTTGCACAGTGAAGGAAGCCATCAACAAAACAAAAAGGCAACTTACTGAATGAAAGAGGGTATTTGCAAGCAATATATCTGATAAGGGTTTAATAACCAAAATATATAAAGAAGTGGTACAACTCAACACCAAAAAAACCCAAATAATCCAATTAAAAAATGAACACAGAATCTGAATAGACATGTTTCCAAAGAAGACATCCAGATGGCCAATGGACACGTGAAAAGGTGCTCAACATCACTCATCATCAGGGAAATGCAGATCAAAACTACAGTGACATACCGCCTCACACCTGTCAGAGTGGCTAGTATCAAGAAGACAAGAAATAATAACTGTTAAGAAGAATGTGGTGAAAAGGGAGCCTCGTGCACCCTTGGTGGGAATGTAAATTGTTGCATTAACTATGGAAACAGTAAGGAGGTTCTCCAGAAAGCTGAAAATAGAAATACCATACGATCCAGTAATTCCACTTCTCAGCATTTGCCCAAGGAAAACAAAAACATGAATTTGAAAGGATGTATGCACACCTATGTTTCTGCAGCATTATTTATAATATCCAAAATACGGAAGCAGCCTAAGTATTCATCCATACATGAATGGATAAGGAAGATGTGATATACATACACAATGGTATATTACTCAGCCATAAAATAAATGAAATCTTGTTATTTGATACAACATAGATGGACCTAGAACATATTATGCTAAGAGAAATTAGTCAGAAGGGGAAAGACAAATACCATATGATCCCACTTATATGTTGAATCTAAAGAACAAAATAAGCAAATAAAAAAACAATATAAACAAAAGCAGACTCATAAATATGAGAACAAAAGAGTGGTTGCTAGATGATGGGGGGAGGGGGAATGAGCAAACCATGTGAAGGAGTTTAAGAGGTGCAGACTGCCAGTTCTAAAATAAATGACAAGGATGAAAAATACAGCACAGAGAATATAGTCAATACTATTATAATAACTTTGCCTGGTGACACATGGTAACTATACTTCTCATGGCCAGCATCATAATGCATGTACTTGTTGAATCACTATACTGTACACTTGAGATGTAATATGTCATTGTTCTGCAATTAAAAATTTTAAAAAGTTAAAAAGTTAACTCAAACTAGACCATAGACCTAAATGTAAAATACCAAACTCTTAAACTCCCCGAAGATAGCAAAAGGGAAAATCTAGCTGACCTTGGCTTTAGCGATTTCTTTTCAGAGATGGTCTATGAAAGAAAAACTTGATAATTTGGACTGCACTGAAATGTTAAACTTCTCCGCAAATGACACTGACTGTTAAAGGAATGGGGATACAAACCACAGTCTAGGAGGCCGCCTTTGCAACACACACATTTGACACAGGACTGATATCGAAAATACAGTTAAAACGCTTCTATTTTTTTTTTCAGTTTATTTATTTATTTTGAGAGAGGGAGGAGGGAGCACACAGGGGAGGGGCAGAGGGATCCCAAGCAGCTCCATGGTGTCAGCGCAGAGCCCGACACAGGGCTCGATCTCACAAACCGTGAGATCACAACCTGAGCTGAAATCAAGAGTTGGATGCTTAACTGATGGAGCTGCTCAGGAGCCCCTAGGTAAAACTCTTTTAACACCCAACAGAAAGAACCAATTAAAAACGAGTCAAAAGATCTGAACGGATGCCTTACATAAGAAGATATAAAGACGGTAAATACACAAATGAAAACACGTTCCACACCGTTAGTCATTAGGAAAGTGCAAACCAAAACCTCAAGGAGATGCCACTTCACACCCACCAGGACGGCTATAATCAAAAAGAATAGCAGGTGTTGAGAGGAATGAGAAGGATTTGGACACTTCCATATTGCTATTGGGGATATAAAATGATGCTTTAGAAGTCAATCTGGGAGTTCCTCAGTTAAACCCAGAATCACCACTGACAGCAATTCCACTCCTGGGTACACGCCCGACAGAACTGAAAACACATGTGCACACAAACACCTGCACAGGAATGTTCTTATCAGCATTATTCATAATGGTCAAAAAGTAGAAACAACCCAAATGTCCATCCGGTGAGGAATGGAGCAAGCAAATCTGTCAGAGACTTACAAAGGACTATTACGTCACAGCGTTGCCAATGATGTAGAAATGAAGATCCACACCAATTTAAAGGTAAGTTTAAGCTCAAAATATAGTCACTCAAAAGCCTCGCACGTCTGAAGGAGCTGCTAACTATTCATTACCCTCTGGAGCGTAACGCCTATGCCTCTCAAGAAGTCAAAGGGATGAGTAACTTTGGGTTACTTCTACTCTGCGAGCAGTTAGCACTCCTTTACTCTCTGGGAGAGAGATGCTGGAAATGAGCCCAGTTTCCTTCCAAGGACACACATAAACACGCTGCTGCTAGGGCTTCCGGCATTTGAGCGGAAGACACCTGACCGTGTGCCAAGGACCAGAAGGCGGGCTTCCCGGGGAAAAGGAGGGATGTCTCCTCGCCTCCAAGGATTATGAAGCAAGTCGGTCTGCATCCGGACCCCTCCCTTAGTGACTGCTGTCCCCGTGTCCCTGGCCCTTTTAGTTCTTTCTTCAATAGCTGCAGTGTCCTGGACTTTCTCACACCTGAGGTTGGCTGTTGACCCCAAATCTGTTTTCCTGGCCAGACCCCGAGTGCACAAGGAGGACCAGCAGAAGAGCGAGCTGTAGTCAGAAAACTAAAATGGCAGCTCACGCCCACGTGTGTGTGCGCATGCGCGCACGTGTACAGGCACACCAGTGTGTATCTTAACCTGACTTGAATGCTGCTCTACCGCTGAAGACCTGGGATTGGTGAGAAACCCCAAGTCTAGCACATGGGCTGTGCTTACACGCAGATGAGGCGAGCTTATTGTACCAGTTTCTATGGGAAGAGAGGTTATGAATCCTACACACCATGCATAGGCCAGGTTCCTTCCCATTTAGGGACGATGTGGCCGGAGTTGACGCATAGGCGGGCAATCGGGATGGGACAGTACTTAACACTCTGAACTCTAAAACACTGCTAAGAGAACAGAGTCTAGCCTGGAGGAGAGCCAATTCAGGGAATTCATCGGAGGCTCGTCGGGCTACGGGGGTAAAGTGTGCACGGATTGAGAGCAGGGAAGATGAAGATTAATGCTGGAATTCGGGGCGTGACCCAGGCCACTGAGAAAGTGTTCGGTGAACGGGAAGCGTTCTGTTTCTGACAGGACAGATGGACTAGAAGCAGGACCCTCTTCTCTACGGTGAGTGAAAAAGAGATTCCTGCTTTGAGATGGACGCTTAAGTAGGTGTCATGTTTAAGGTTCTTCCCAACTTAAGGATTTAGTGCTTCTCAAAATACGTTAAGACTTACTAACTAAACCTGTTGACTCTGTCCCTCCCAAGATCATGCTTCTCCTCTGTCACTATCCCACTGAGTGGGGACATCACCCTTTATCCAGCTGTCTAAGCCAGAGCCTGAGCTCCATCCTGACTCATCCCTCTCCGCCACCCACAGCCTCAAGACACATCAGCTCGTCACTCTGTGCACCAAACATGTATGTGTCATCCATGCTTTTCTCTTCCCCACTTCAGGCCATCATCCCTTCTCACAGGTAGGCAGCCCCTTACCTGGCTCCCCGGCCACACACCCTCTGTCTTTGGGCCACACTCAAACCCTCTCCCCATGGTGGCCAGTAGTGCTTAACTGAAACCTTCAGGGATTTCCCAGGGAGCCTTAGATCAACGTGCAGACTTTGGCTTGGCCACCAGGCCTCTGTGGTGCAGCCGGGCCCAGGGAGGCAGCCCATCTCTCACCACCCCCTGCTCCTCCTCCTCCTCAGATGCCCAATTTGTGCAGCAGCCGTGCTCCAACAGGTAGACTTCTGGCGCACATTGGCTTGGGCACAAGGCTGCACCTTCGCTGGATGCATAGCCTCTGTCACTTGACTGACTTACCCACCTTCCACCCCAGTGTAGATGCCCTCCCTCCTCTCTGAAAGCCCTGCCTCGTCCCAAACCAGGCGCTCTTCCCCCATGTCTCCACAACCCCACACAACTTCAACTTCAGCCTACTTATTCTCTCTAAGAAACCATGTGTATAGCACACAATGTTGCACTTAGCATCTAGAAGCTTAACACTGGCCAAAGGCCAAAGAAGTGGGAAACGTGGCCCCATCAGTACAGCCCATGCCTAGAGGCATTCAAGACACCATTCCCATGATTCTAAAATGAAACTGGGACAGGACTGTGTAACCTGAGGTACATGACATCAAACCCTAATGTCCAAAACACAATTGGTGTAAGACACGATCCCTCCTCATGGCTACCTTCTCCCAGAAACCTTGTTCTAAAGGACCCACCACTTTCCCTGTGTCATGGGGGCCCCGGGTAAGACAGAGCACCATGTGCATAAGTCTGTGGGTGGCTCAGAAAGGTTTCCTACGTCCCATGAGATTTCAAGCATCCTTTCATAAGCCTGCAGCATCGTTGGGCCAGGAATGCTGCTACGCATCATGAATTACGAACTCCTATGCCTGACGGATAAAATTTACAAAATCACTTGCATTTTAATAATAAATCTCAGCTTTGCCTGAGCACACTATGACTTGCTCTGGATGGGCAGAGGGTTGGCTGGGCAAGTGCCCAGACTCAGCACAGCCAGCAAGAGCCTGGGCGTGGATGTTTGCTCTGTCGTATTTTTACGTGAATCTATTTTGTGGTTCATTGGACATGCAGTTGGTAGGTATGGCCTGAAGGGCTAAGGAAAAATGAACATTTTTAGTAGTGTTTAGATGTTAAACCATTAAAAACTGCAATTATTGATTATATCAGCCAAAGAGCCAACAGCTCTTTTCACACCCACTTACAGAGTTGTCCTGAACCTCAATTTTTGCTGAAAGGAGGTCACTTAATATCCCAGATGTCTCCATCCATTCTTGACACATATGTCTAAAAATCATTTTTGGGTGGGATATGGAAAATCTTTCTATTCGGTGATATATCATATACATACACACACACCTATGCATACACCATGCATACTTTTTGAGGGCACTAAAAGACCTATAGGCACAAAGGGAAAACATGCATTTCTTACGTAAGAAGAAATAATTGTGACTACATCATGCTTTGTTAGAGACTTTCCCAGGAACCAAACTAACTTCCTACAAATGAGTAGAATGTGAACTATGCACATGAACATTAGCATTACAGAACCCAAGTTCTCATGAGTTAGTATTTCACGTACTGGAATTTATGGTTTTCTAATACATTGCCAAACTGCGATGTAACTTGGAGTTCAATGCACATGACGTGGAATTCCAGTTAGTGTGAAACTTGGAACAGATTTGCCGCAGGGCACCTAGATGGCTCAGTCAGTTGAGCGTCTTACTTTGGCCCAGCATTGGGCTCTGCGCTGACAGTGTGGAGCCTGCTTGGGATTAACTCTTTCTCATTCTCTCTCTGCCCATCTCTCATTCTCCCTGGCCATGCAGGGACGTGTGAGGGTGTCTACAGCCTGTTATTCAACAGGAATCTATGGCAATCCTACTGCACAAGGTCACATACATCAGGCACAGAAAAAGATTTAGTCCCTTTGAGCCTAAATAACTGAAAGTCAGATAGCATGACTAGTAAGACCATATGAATAAAGCTGCAATGCTTAGCAATTGTAACACATTGTTGGTTCAACGCTTTTCTCTTTTATCGAGGTATGATTGACTTACACCATTATATGAGTTTCAGGTGTACAACATGATGATCTGATATTTGTATATATTGTACTGTGAAATGCCCACCACAAGACGTCTAGTTAACATCCATCACCACACATAGTTGTGAAACATTTCTTTCTTGTGATGAGGACTTTTTAGATCTCCTCTCTTAGCAACTTTCAAATATATAAAACAGTATTATTAACTATAGTCATTACGTTATAAATTACATCTCCATGATATTTCTTGTATAACTGGAGGTTTGTGCCTTGTTTTTTGTTTTTGTTTTGAGAAAGAGATATGCACAGCAGGGGAGGGGCAGAGAGAGAAAGAAGAAGAAAGAGAATCCCAAGCAGGCTCTGTGCTGATAGCACAGTCGTGGGGCTCGATCCCAAGAACTGTGAGCTCAAGACCTGAGCCAATATAAAAAATCAGATGCTCAACTGATGGAGCCACTCAGATGCCTCTGTGCCTTTTGACCCCTTTCAGCCACCCCCACTCCCCACCACCCCCATGGCACCATCAGTCTTCTCTGTAAAAGCTTTGCTTGTCTCTTCTCCCTCAGTGAGCCGGTACTATGTTTGGTATGTGGTTCTTTCCATTCTTTGTTGTGTTTATGTGACCAGAAATCCCCAAAGGCTCAACCTTTCTCCGAGGAACAGTTACTTTTCATTTTCCACACAGAGAAGGGAGTGTGGGGTGATCCCGCTGACCACACTGATTTACTGGTCCTCAGAGGTTCATTATGTCTTTAGAATATTCAAATCTGTTTTGTGCAGTGGAAAAACTCTTAAAAGTATTTCTACTCATCAGTATTTACACTCACTAATTACAGCACTGTCAACAGAATTCTGTAAGAACCTAGTAGCTTGGGGACACACACAAGGAAAATTCATGAGAGTGTGTCTTCTAAAACAATATTACCATTCAAGGGAGCAATTGTTTAAAACCATCATTTTCTTGTGTTCAATGTAATTAGAACTTTTCCATACGAACTGGATATTGGGCAGAGAGAAGGAGCTAGAAGAAGGCACTCTTTCTCAGCTGTTCATTCATTTTTAATCTACGATCAGAAAATTGAAATCAAGAGTGTTACCATGACACTGGATGGCTTTACCTGTCTGTGAGGCCGCATGTGTCTATCTGGAGGTCACGGAAACTCCCCAGCGCCCCCTGCTGCACTGTGATGGGATCCACCGCCTTGTCACCTATGGAGATGAGCCTCAGGCAGCCCTGGAAGCTGCCCAGGGGACCTCCACATCCAGAGCCAGAGACGCTCTCAGGACAGCCTGAATGAACATGGAGACACACAACGGAGAAGGTCAACAGTCATGACCAAAACAGCGTGCGGTATTTCTTATACGCAGGTTTGCTGTCTCTTCCTGAGGTTGAGGCTTCCTAACTTATTGGAAGGGCCACACTGCTCAAGGACGGGGTGGTGGGTGGCTGAGGAGAACACAAGTTATTGGTTTTGGTAAAGCATAGAAATAACAAGCGGACCCAGGCTTGTGGGCGGATGAGCCGAAAGGTAGGATGGACAATCCTACCAACCGAGTCAAGCACACAGAAGAAATCATTCCTTTCAGCATGATGTAAAACTATGTGAACTAAAGGGCATGTGACAACGGAATCAGAGAAAAACCTCACAGGCACACTAGGCCTTGCTCAGTTTAAAATACTTGAAAAAAAACTAGGTAATGTGAAATTTCTACTCTGTATGTTCATGTGTGTGCATGCATCGTAGGCATATTTAAAACAGGGTTTGATTACAACTGGTCAGAGGGGCGCCTGGGTGGCTCAGTCCGTTGAGCATCCGACTTTGACTCAAGTCATGATCTCTTGGTTCGTGAGTTTGAGCCCCGCGTCGGGCTCTGTGCTGATGGCTCTGTGTCTCCCTCTCTCTCTCTCTCTGCCCCCACCCCTTGGGCCCTCTCTCCGTCTCTCTCTCACAGAAATAATAAATGAATAAACTTTAAAAAAAAGAAAAGAAAAATAATTATGTATGTGAAACTTCCACTCTATAAGTGAGTATGTGTGTACACCAGCACAGGCATGTTTAAATTTTTTTCAATGTTATTTATTGAAATAACCCCCAGAGTGTGAGTGGGGAGGGGAGAGAGAGAGGGAGACAGAGTGTGAGTAGAGGAGGGACAGAGAGAGAGGGAGACAGAATCTGAAGCAGGTTCCAGGCTCTGAGCTGTCAGCACAGAGCCCAACACGGGGCTTAAACCCACCAATTGCAAGATCATGAGCTGAGCCCAAGTCGGATGCTTAACTGACTGAGCCACTCAGGCACCCCAAGCACAGGCATATTTAAAACAATGTTTGATGTTAACTGCTCAGGGAGATCTAAGAACAATTTATACTTACATTTCTAATTGTTTCTGAATTAAGCAATTTAACCAAATACCTTTTAACATTAACACACAAAATGAACCAGGATCTCACGATGATATGGCACTGAAAATAATGCAGAAAAATCAGCATCAGACTATTCCATGAAAAAAAGAAATGGGCTTTGATTGTTTTCAATAATAAGAGGTACATTTTAAAAGTCGTGCTGCACTCACTAATTGGCCTGCCGTAAATCACTGTTAAATTAATTAAGCAAGGGGGCCACCAGACAGACATGGCTCACCAAAAGCTTTAGTGGCCTCGGAAAGCAAATCAAAGCCTGGGCCTATAAATGCCTCAAGGTTCTGAAATCAAAACCTAACGACAACCCATCACAAACAGCGAACCAGGCTGTAAGCTATAGCCAATCAATAATTTCTTTCTTTACATCTGTTCCTTCTCTCTAGAAGTCTGCCGTCCAGCTCCTGCCTATATGGAGCCCCCCTAACCACCTCAGGTCTGCTGTTGCCAGATGTGAATCAGTCTTTGCTCAAAGAAACCCTTAACATGTTTAATATGCCTCAGGTTATCTTTCACCATTACGAACCACAATTCCTGTACAGTGATTTCATTTTATCCCCTTGGGTTTCCCAAGAAGACAATGCTATTATAGTAATGATGAGCCGGGTCATGGCTTTCAAATCAAAATCAAAGCAGATGCAGTTCCGAACCACCTCCTTCCCCACGCGTGGGGCCAGCAGGGGGGGAGGTCTCTCCCACCCACTGCTGAGCTGCCTTCTACCGGAGTCACAGATTTGAGCAAGACGCCCCTCGCATGGGAGGAAAGGGAACAGCTCAGGAAAGAGAAGGCTTTTGTGAAAGGCAACAATTGGTGGAAATCTGCATACAGAGCCTAGTTCCCAGGACACCCCCACCCACTTCATTTTTAGGACTGAGGCTGGGGGTCTCCCCAGGAGCTGCCCTAGCTGAGGGGAGCTGAGTCTGATAAGGCGGTAGCCCTCCCTAGGGATGGCCAGTGCCCCGGGATGCGATGGCGTGCTCGGCGGTCTACATCCATTTCTCTCCTGGGACATCCCTTAAGGGCACTGCTGCGTCAGAGCCTCCGTGGGATGCCCTGAGGTTTCGGTTAGAACCGCATCCACACCTCAACTTGTCTCTGTTCCTCCCAGCTGCTCGCTCAACCTTGCGGGGTGGTTCCCGAGAATTAACCTCACTAAAACACGTAAGCCAATCTCTCAGGCAGTGAGGGGGATAAAAATCACAGAGCGTTCACCTAATCAAATACTTTATTCTTTTTTTTTTTTTTAATGTTGTATTTATTTCTAGGAAAGAGAGAGAGAGAGACAGCGTGAGCAGGGGAGGGTCAGAGAGAGAGGGAGTCACAGACTGAAACAGGCTGCAGGCTCTGAGCTGGCAGTCAGCACAGAGCCCGACGCGGGGCTCGAACCCACGAACCACGAGATCGTGACCCAAGCGAAAGTCGGACGCTTAACCGACTAAGCCACCCAGGTGCCCCTCAAATACTTTATTCTCATATGCAAACATGAAAGAAGCTCAGCATTTTAAAATAATATTGTTTTAATTCCAAGAAACTGTGAAGTAAATTTTATGCTTTGTGCGAAGCTTACCTACTTTATTTATTCTTTCCCTTATATAATTATGTTTCATTTACATCTCCTCCAGGGGAATGTGTTCTTTTAACTTATTAGATATAAGGTCTTAATTATCCATCTTTTTAAAAAAAATCATTAAAAAATCATTTTCCAATTATTTAGATATTAAAGATTTTTTTTTTTTGTTAATATTTACAGCCTGGGTTTGAGGTTATTTTAAAAGGCTCTTATGCTTTTTGTTTTTTTTTAATGAAAAGGAATTCGTAATTTTTAAAAGATTTTATTCACTGGAGCGCTATGTTTTTCTTTCCTCTCTCTTTGAACTTTTATCCTGAGGTCACTGGTGCCCTTTCAAAGGGTGCGGCCGAAGATGAGACTCCTCTGGTCCCTGCAAAATGGCCACTGGCCTGCTGCCTAAGAATCTCCACAAAATGCACAGTCTAGCTTCCTTTATCTTTCAGTGTTGCTGCTTTGTATTCCTGACAAATATAATCCAAAACCAGCCAAGTTTTACATCAGGTTAAACCTGCTGTTGGACCCAGTGCAACCCCATGAATTGGCCTCATGGAGACTCTGACCCTTCAAATGTAATATGACGTCACAAAGAACTGCTTAACTCTACGATTCTTTCCCATTTCCTTGCTTTATGTGAAAATACAAACATTTCAGTTTGTAAAAGAGTCTGTGAAGGGTTGGATATATTTGGAAGGAACCCGGTGTATCTTTACATCTTTACTTCCACTGACTTCTTTACTTCCAGTGACTTCCACTGACAGTGCTTAGGAACAGGACATTTGGATAAAGGGTAGGAAACACTCAGTCAATCAATGGTTCTGTGGAAGCCGCTTACTCCTTTCCAGCTACCGTCTCTTCTTCTGGATCACAAGCCTCAAACTCATCTAAAATACAAGCAATGTCAGGGCGCCTGGGTGGCTCAGTCAGTTATGTGTTCAACTCTGGATTTTGGCTCAGGTCATAATCTCACGGTTCATCGGATCAAGGACTGTATCTTGCTCTGGGCTGACAGTGTGGAGCCTGCTTGGGATTCTCTCTCTCCCTCTCTCTCTGCCCCTTCCCTGCTTGTGCTTACTCTCTCTTTCAAAATAAATAATAAATATGGGTGCCTGGGTGACTCAGTCAGTTAAGCATCTGATTTTGGTTCAGGTCATGATCTCACAGTCTGTGAGTTTGAGCCCCGGGTTGGGCTCTGTGCTGACAGCTCAGAGCTGTCAGATTCTGCTTCAGATTCTGTGTCTCCCTCTCTCTCTGACCGTCCCCACTTGCACTCTGTCTCTCTCTCAAAAATAAATATTTAAAAAATCCAAAATGAATAATTAATAAACATAAAATAAAATAAAACAAAACAAAACAAAACAAAACAAAATACAGAGCAGTAACCCCATAAAGGACAAAACTAAACAGAACTCGGTGGTCACAAGGAAATCTTTCTCAAAGTGGAACTGTGAGAAGGAAAGGTCAAACTGCTAAGCGCTTCATTGCGGCAGAGGTCGGGAAACGAGGGGTGCCATGGCCCCAGATGAGCCCAGGCCAAGAGATGCCCATGCATCCATGTGCAGGATTGCCTGAAGTAATGATGGGAAAATGGCAGAGGATCATTCCTCAATGACCTGATTCGACACGGACAGGGAATATTTACTGCTACATTAATGGAATATACCCATCACTATAGAAAGAGTTGGAAATTTAAGTACCTCTGAGGATGACAGAGAAATTGTCACTTTATGTCACTCTACCAGGATGGGTCCTCAGTGAGCCCTCATTACAGTCGTCTATGGTTCCCTGGCCAGCTAATGTTTCACTCAAGGACACTCGAGAGATCCTGAACATGATGCAACTGTCCCCCAGTCTGTGGTGCAAGTATGCTACTGAATGCTACAGTTTCCTCACCAAAGCTCTGTATGACACACTAGAGCAAAAGCACTTTTGGAAGAACAATTTACAAACAAAGCTCAGACTGAGAAAAATTAGATAAGTAAAAAGGGAAACACAGAGTGCTTATGGGACATATAAGAAGGGCTGCTAATTTGTAAGAGGGCACAGCTCATGGAAAGAAAGCCACAGAGCCCTGGTGTATGCCCGCAGTCCCGTCAGTTAAGGACATCATCTCCTTCATTTGCTAAAGTGTCCTGGTTTGGGCAGTAAGTTATATGGCCACCCTAAGTGTAAGTGCAAGATGGACTAGTCTGCCTTTATGGGAAAGCATCGCAACAAAATGTGACTTATTGCATGGCCAGTGGGGATTTGCAGTTGGACTCCATCCGGAAAAACCCAAAGGGGAGGAGGGCACTGGTTGTGGGGGGAGGGTCTCAGAACACGGGGTATTGCTTTCCATGAAATGCCAAATATTGCTACAGAGCAGAAATTGGACAGAGTGAATTTCCTTGTTAACATGACGCATATTCTGCTTCTGATGGAAATTAATCAAGATGATAGTTAAATAAATGGACACTGGCATAAATCATTCTTGGTAATGGATAAAATAACTCTGACATTGACGTCTTTGGGTCTCAAGGTTTCCACTCAAAGTGAAACCAACCTGTCTCTCTTTACCCAAAACAGAGCTGGGAAGTCAAACAGACCATAGGGACAAGGGAGTCTTTACCTGGGCATAAAGCTTGTGAATATGATACATCTACTGAGAACCAGAACTCCATGCTCACGGATCCCAGAACTCCCTTTCTTGGTTTTCCTTGACCACAAATAATATTCACCTTTTTACTTCACATCAGCAAATCGGTCTGTTTTGGTTGTGTTTGTTTGTTTTAGCCTGGTGAGGGCATTGGTGGAATTTTTTTGGACAGTATATATGCTTTCTCTAGGAAAAAAATGCTGTGAGGTTAGTATAACCACAGTTGATTAAGTTAGTTTGAATCATTGCCTGGAATTGTTTTGTGGACATCAGTTGGGTATTTACAGCTATGTATGTAGAGGTCATTCTGAACTTACACATTAGTTAGGGATAATGTGCTGTGATTGCAAGATCTGACACTATTTTTGCCACTCGGGGCCAAATTATAATTACAGCCAAGAAACAGGAACACGGTAATGAAGAAAAGTCATTCTTCTCTCTCCTGGGATGTTGAAGCTTCATAATCCGCTCATCTTAAGGACACTACTTGTTATTGGGAGCCTTACTAACAAGACAGTTTTTCTGCACCTCAACATAATTTTATGAAAATACGTAAGAAAGGCCTATTAGGCCTTATTCAACACATCGCCTCCAAATCTCCAGGGTCTTTTCATAGACCACTGGCTGGGTCTCTGTGCATGACCCATGTGACCAATGCGAACACTCTAGCATCGATTCAACATAATGATTGGAGCGTGCCACTAAAACTATAACCTTGTTTCATTCAATCGACTGTGCATATTAGGAAAGCTTGATAGTTTGTGCATAAGGAAAATTTTTAAGTCACTGGCAAGATGATTCTTGGTAGCCGTAGGAGGACATTTATAGAATTTTATATAATAATAACAAAACAAAAAAACCCCCAAAAAACTGGGCACAATCAAATTGCCAATCAACAGTAAAATGGGACAATGGGTTTAATAAGTAAAACACGGTATAATATACATCAAAAGCCACATAGTGGTAAAAATGAATTAACTTTTCCTATAAATATTCACATGGCTGGATCTCAAAAATAAATATAAAACAACAACAGAAATAATTAAAAAAACCACAGAAGACTGTGTAAAGAAAAGCAATATATTAAAAGTTACAAACTTTCAGTTGTCAAATAAGTAAGTTATGGGGATGCAATGAACAGCATGGTGCCTGCAGGTCCTAATCATGTATTATATATTTAAAAGTTGCTAAGAGTTTAGATCTTAAAAGTCTTCATCACAAAAAAAAATTGTAACAATGCATGTGGATGGATGTTCACTGGTCTTATTATGGGATCACTTCCTGCTATATACAAATATCGCGTGATTATGTTGTACATCTGAAACTAACATATTGTTATATGTCGATTTTTATCTGAATTTAAAAATAAAAGGTGTGCCTGGGTGGCTCGGTTGGTTAAGCGTCTGACTTAGGCTCAGGTCATGATCTCATGGTTCGTGGGTTCGAGCCCCGCGTCGGGATCTGTGCTGCTAGCTCAGAGCTTGGAGCCGGCTTCTGATTCTGTGTCTCCTTCTCTCTCTCTCTCTGCTCCTACCCCACTCATGCTGTCTCTACCTCTCCTAAATAAATAAACTTAAAACAAAATTTTTTTAATTTTTAAAATAAAAAAGCAATACAAAGATTAGTAAAAAGAAGTGTAGGGTAGTAACTGGGGGAATGAGAATCTGGAGGAGTAAGGAAAGCTTTGAAAGCCTTGTAATGTATATTTATTTCATTATTCTTTTTTATTTTTAGAGAGAGAGTATGAGCACGGGAGAGGGGCAGAGGAGAAAAGAGAATCCTAAACAGGCTCCATGCTCAGCACAGAGCCTGATGCGGGGCTTGATCGCACGACCCTGGGATCATGACCTGAGCCAAAATCAAGAGTCGGCTGCTCAACCGCCTGAGTCCCCCAGGTGCCCTGAAAGCACTGTGGTGGTTAATTGTGTGCACTAGGGATGAGCCCATACATTTCCAAGAAATGTTAGTAGTATTTTAAAATATATACACACAGGGCACCTGGGTGGCTCAGTCGGTTAAGCGTCTGACTTAGCTCAGGTCATGATCTCAGGGTCCATGAGTTCGAGCCCCGGGTGGGCTGTGCATTGACAGAGCAGAGCCTGCTTCGGATTCTCTGTCTCCCTCACTCCTTGTCCCTCCCCCTGCTCACCCTCACATTCACGGTCTTTTCTCTCAAAAATAAGTAAGTAAACCTTAAAAAATATATAAGATATACATATATTGCATACTAACTACTGATTCCTATCACATCAACATGGAAATATCTATGGAAACTACCTACCCAGTACCTTCTCTCATGTAACTGCGCATTGTCCATTTGGAACATGTAGAATGTTCAAATATGAAAGATGATTCTGTGGTTTGAAAAGTATTTTCTTTTTACTCTTTAATAAAAATAACAAGTATTCTGTTTTGTATCGTTAAACAACATAGCAAGGATTTCTCTTCCTATCCCTTTTCATGTTTCAAAATCCTTTACCTTTTAAGTTACAGCTCCTGGATAAATTCTGTATTTAGTTTTGAAGGAATCTGCTCCTCTGCAGAGCTATAAAATCCATCAGAAGCATAAAGGTTTAAAAAACTATCTGGGTCCAAAATGCACCATATTTAGCAAGCACTGAAGGCCAGGATTCCGATCTTTCAATGTTACTGGTACTGCTCCATGTGCATCACGATGGCCATTTTAGGGGCTTGAAAGATTAAACACCCTAATTCATGGTTTGTGTGCTTACTGTCAATTCTTAGGGAGGATTTTATACTTTCTTGTTGGGCTACCAAGCTATCTCCACCGTGATTCCAAACTTATTTTTGAAAAAAAACAACCCAACTATAAAATGCAAAACAGGAATAACATCAAGGCCAGCTTCAAGCCAAGATTAGAAATAAGTCTTACAATTGACAAGTCTAAGCTTCTGGTGGCTCAGGATTTTCCACTTGAATGCCTCAGGAATGGAGATTCATTACCGTCAGAAGCTCCCCCTCCCTGGCTGAAAGGATCCCAGGCAGGCTCACTCAAAGGTCCACTGAACAGGCAAATGTTCCATGTACCACAGTCCAGGAAAATGGCCAGGTGTCGTGTTGGTAGAGTTCATTGCTAAGTAATGAGTGAATCGTCAATAGCCATCAAAGTGCGCTCTTGCTCTGTTGTATATAATGGGCCCTTCTGTATAGACAGTGGGGACAGAACACTTCCTGAACATAATAGGGCAACAGGCCACCTGGGGGTCTTGGTGACGTGCAGATTCTGGATCAGGGAGCCAGGGATGCTCCATCTGCATCTCTGACAAACTCAAGTGATGCTGCTGGTTCCTGGACCACACTTGGGGAGCCAGGCTCCTTGGGGAGAAGAGGAGTCTACAGAAAGAACACCCACATGCAGTAGTAAGATTGTCACATGTAAACCTGAAGAAAAGGTTGGAAGAGTCATTTGGCATTAGTAAAATTCTCTGTAGCAAAGTCAAGGTAAGAGACAGGGAACAAGGACCCTCAACGTTGCCTGCACGCAGAATCGCCTGGGGGGCGTTAAGGAACGTGCTGCCCTGGCCTCAGAACCAGATAAATCTGGGTCTCTGAGAATGGGACCAGGCATTGGCATTTTTGAAGCTTTCTAGGTTACTGCAGGGAAAGCAACGGCCAAATCTAAAACCAGTCTTAGCACGGGTACATTTAAACAAGGCCACACAGGAGACTTGCATTTCAGGCCATACTTTACCGTCTCTGCCCACTCAACATTCTCACGGACTATCACTGAAAGCAAAGATTGTTCTCAGTATTAATCTTCATTTAAAATGATCAGTTGCCTTCAAAGGTGGGAGCTGGAAAGACAAAGATGGTTTGATTGCCAACAGGGCCAGCTCTCTTCACTTACCTCCCAAATAATAGGTGTCCCCGGAATCAATCCGTCCACGCAAGGAATGAGCTACGGAGGCTGCTTCACCATCCACCATCACACTCAGGTGATTTCCTTTCAGTGATAAGGACACTGAATGCCACTGCCCATCACTTAATCCAGAACCTGGAGGTGAACAAAACAGGGTAAAGGATTTTCCTACAAACCCTACAGATGCCTCTAAACAGAGCAAGTGCTTGAAAACAACACGAGTAGGATCTCAGACCACCTACCGAAGACCAGCATGAGCTCATCTGAAGCCTACCCAGGTCATTTAGCTGGCTGGGTGATGGAGAACCACCACAGAGGACAGCTGGGGCCTCTGGGGGAGACAGGGTGAGGGTTGGGATAGATGTGGGCTTGCCGGGGGTTCTAGAGAGGCAATGAGATGATGTGGCATCCTGATCACATTTATCTAGGAAGGAGATTGTCACCCATGGAGGGAGGCTCACTGAGTAAATGTGTGGTTGCTGTGGGTCCTTGTGTCTGACCCTCCACAGTCATGGACTGGTCAGTCTGGTTCTAACAAAAATTATTATGCTCGGTGGGGAATATTTATGCCCTAATGTGTGCACTGCAAAGGCTGTATTTCACTTTCTCATCACTCAATTAAATCAGAAAAGGAGAGGGAGACAAGAAGAGAAAAGAAAGAGATCCGAATCAGAGGGGGTAAAGAAGACTTAACAGTGGGCGATCCAGACATTCTGCTTTGAATGGTCATAGTTCTAGGGCCATATAGAATAACATGACTGACTCTGAGCAATCCTGAAACAATAAGACCTTTCCAGTCACAGGGCAGAGGACATACTTCATTCTCCTCTAGTTTGTTAATACTTGGGGATGTTGAGAAACACAGGCATTTTCCAAAATTGTAAGTTACAAAAATAAAATATCGTTCACACTTTTTTGTATCGTCATTATCCATAATAATCTTGGTAGGCTATTTAGAAAAATATGTCGTATATATCAATGTACCTTTTTTTTTTTAAATGTTTTTATTTATTTCTAGGAGAGAGAGAGAGACAGCGTGAGCAGGGGAGGGTCAGAGAGAGAGGGAGTCACAGACTGAAACAGGCTCCAGGCTCTGAGCTGGCAGTCAGCACAGAGCCCGACGCGGGGCTCGAACCCACCAACCGCGAGATCATGACCTAAGCGAAAGTCGGACGCTTAACCGACTAAGCCACCCAGGCGCCCCCAATGTATCTTTTTAAAAATGCCTAGATATTTAAGTATTAATAAAACATGAACATTCATTGAATTCATTAGATGTAAAGTTAAAAAAGCATCATATTATAGTGTGTGTGTGTGTGTATGTGTGTGTGTGCACGCGCATACTCAACCAATGTATAAAATCAATGTATAAAAATGGAAAAGAAACCTGGTAGGAAATATTCTTAGATATGAACGTTAACTTTTGGATTAGGGAACTGTGTTTGGTTTCGTTTTAAGTCATTTTTCCATTTTCTGTTTTCTCAAATTTGATACAGGACATTCGAGCTATTGTTATGTTCTTACTCTGAAAAACTAGTATTAGTCCCTCCTAAATCAGCCACCATCTCTTGAGTCATGAGATGAAATATCTGGTTTTTTCTTAAAGTGATGGAGCTGGGGATGCTCATGTGGTCGAGCCAGCGGCCAGCGACCAACCGTGCATGATTTCAGTTTCTCCTACAGACTTACCAGCCAGGTCTTCCACTGAATGAAAACCCAATGTTGTGTCACAGAGAAGATAACTCAGTAAACAGTAGATGTACCAGTACACTCCCCAAGGCAGCGTTTGTTAGTTAGCCCCTACTAGATTATTTTGTCTGAGCAAACAACGCCTAAGCTTCAATGAGTAACAACTGAGGGTATGGTTCCCACTCTGGTCTTGAGCCAGTTGGGTCTCCATCCTCTGGGCCCCCAACCCTTATTCCTGCAGGACTGAGGCTGACGCATGGCCCTATTTCTGCCTCCTGGCTGAGAAGGAAACAGTGCTTGGGAGAATCTTGCTATGGCTTCTGCTCCGATGTGACAGATATCACTTCTGCCTATATTTCATTGGCCAATATGGGTTATATGGCCAAAGGTAAGGGATTCCTCCCTCCAAAGGGGTCATGGCAATGCCCACATCCACAGAGATGCATGTTGTGGTAAGGAGGACAGTGAATAATTGGAATCTTTACATATTGTCTTGGGGGACACCTGGGTGGCTTAGTTGGGTGAGTGTCTGACTCTTGGCTCAGGTCATGCATGATTTCACGGTTTATGAGTTTTAGCCCTGTGTCAGGCTCTGTGCTAACAGTGCAGAAAGTGCTTGGAATTCTTTCTCTCTCTCTGCCTCTCTCCCACTTGCTCTCTTTCTCTCAAAATAAATAAATGTTAAGAAAGAAAGAAAGAAAGAAAGAAAGAAAGAGAGAAAGAGAGAAAGAAAGAAAGAAAGAAGGAAGGAAGGAAGGAAGGAAGGAAGGAAGGAAGGAAGGAAGGAAGGAAGGAAGGAAGGAAGGAAGAAAGAAAGAAAGAAAGAAAGAAAGAAAGAAAGAAAGAAAGGAAGGAAGGAAGGAAGGAAGGAAGGAAGGAAGGAAGGAAGGAAGGAAGAAAGAAGGAAAGAAAGAAAGAAAGAAAGAAATTGTCTTGGCCAGGAGGGAACACTTTTACTTATTTAAAAATGACAAAATTGGGGCACCTGGGTGGCTCAGTCGGTTAGGCATCCAACTTCGGCTCAGGTCATGATCTCTTAGTCCGTGTCTAGACCCGCATTGGGCTCTGTGCTGACAGCTCAGAGCCTGGAGTCTGCTTCAGATTCTGTGTCTCCCTCTCTCTCTCTCTGCACCACCCCCACTCGCTCTCTGTCTCTCTCGTTCTCTCTCAAAAATAAATTTTAAAAAACATTAAAACATAAAAAAATAGCTACAACTTTGTTCTTCTCAGATTACAAAATACCAGTTAGGTTACTCCCAACACTCACTTTCAGGAAGGGGACAGTTTAAAGTCACAATGGTGACTTTGCCATGGACATGCATCCAGTGTGATAAAAATGCCAGACTCTTGGCTTTGTTTCAAATTTGTGAAGCCAAAACTGTTTCAAAGGCTCAACGCCTGTTAATTTCATGAATGATAATGAGGAAGGTGAGAACAGAATGCGGAGGATTTGGGTTACTTAAAACATACATGACGACGCTGGCCCTGAAGCCTGCTGAAGGAGGCCCTGCAGCCCCAGAGCTTACAAAGAAACAGACAAACAAGAATCGTGAATGTTCCTTCCCGTCTTGCCCTTTGACATTGATTTTATAGCTTACTTAGCATATCTCTCAGGACGGTAACCACATCCACTTAAAACCTGGTGTTAAAACCCAATAGTTAACTGGGTGTGAAAGATCCCTCCTGCTCCCTCCCTCCTCTCTGTGCCCACCCACCTGTCTAGGGCATAGAGTTATTTCATGGGAGAGCTTGCAGAAAACTCGGGAAAATCTCCCTGAATTGGTGAATAGATGCCATTTGCCTCTTTTATAATAAGACTGGTTTTTTTTGTTTTTTTTTTTTTTTTTTTTTTTTACAAATAGTTTATTGTCAAATTAGTTTCTACATAACACTCAGTGCTCATCCCCAAAGTGCCCTCCTCCATGCCCATCCCCCCCTCCCCCCCACATCCATCAGTCCTCAGTTTTTGTCAGCATTCAAGAGTCTCTCATGGTTTGCCTCTCTCCCTTTCCCCCACCATTTCCGCCCTTCTTCTCCCGCTTGTTCCTCCGAATAAGACTGGTTTTTAATACAATTCGTCCTTCTCATTTAAAAGTGAAATGCCTGCACTTATGTGCATTCTCTCTATCTACCCATTATAATTCTCACCCTTTATGTTTCTCCTGTGTGCACTCTACTATCCCCACTTCTGATAGAAGGAGCCAGTTTCCCTGGCAGCTGTGGAGTCAAGGGATGGATGGAGGAGAGAGGGCGGACTGTGTTTCTGATCTGTGCGACTGCGAAAATGATGCTAATTCTTCCCCGAAGTCCTTCCCAGCTCCCCCTCCCTAAAGCATCAATCTAGGGGGTGATGGTGGGGGGACTAGTTTTGGAATCATGATAACTAAAAGACGCCGGGTGATTACTCATTAGCAGGCACTGTGCTGACGGTGTCATGCACAGCGTCATCGCTTCTGTCATGAGTCACACTAGAGTCATCTCAGAGGCGAGGACCCGAAGCTTGGAGAGAGCAAAGGAGCCCCTTATCCAGTCCATCAAACCTAAAAGGGAGCGCACTCTCCCTCCATCCTCCGGGTTCTTTCTGTTCCCACCTCGCTCCCCTGGGCCAGCTCCTTAAATGCACGCACACTAGATTACACACCTTTGGACCTTTCTAGATCCCTTCAGAAACATACTGAGATAACTATTAGGAAAGAGAATCTAAAACCTGGGAACAGGATGAAAGATGACTAGATGTCCTTTTTGCCCTTTAATACGACTTACGTTTAACTTATTCTTTAAAATTTGGTTCTGGATTTTGTACGTGCTTTCATGCTTCATACAAGGTTTAAAATGAAAACCAATTGCAAGCTGTCTCATTTCCCATGGACAGGCGCACCTCGTTTTATTGTGTTTCGCTTTATGCACTTTGCAGATACTATGTCTTTTACGGATTGAAGCCCTGCCTGGAGCGTGTCTCTTGATACCATTTCGAACAGCATTTGCTCACTTCGTGTCTCTGTGTCACATTTTGGGAATTCTCACAGTTTTTCAAACTTTGTCATTATTATGACATTTGTTATGATGATCTGTAATCAAGTGATTATAACTCACTGAAAGCTCAAATAACAGCATTTTTTAGCAATTAAGTATTTTTTACTGTTTATTTATTTTGAGAAAGAGAAAGAGGTAGGGAGGGGCAGAGAGAGAGAAAGAGAGATACCCAAGCAGACTCCAAGCTGTCAGTGCAGAGCCTGATGGAGGGAATCGTGAGATCGTGACCTGAGCCAAAACTCAAGAGTTGACCATTTTACCAACTGAGCCAGCCAGGCACCCCAGCCATGAAGTATTTTTAAAAATTTTTTAATGTTTTATTCATTTTTGAGAGAGAGAAAGACAGAGTGCAAGTGGGGGAGGGGCAGAGAGAGACAGAATCTGTAGCAGGCTCCAGGCTCTGAGCTGTCAGCACAGAGCCCAACATGCGGCTTGAACTCGTGAACCTCGAGATCATGACCTGAGCTGAAGTCGGACACTAAACCAACTGATCCATCCATAAAGTATTTTTTAATTAAGGTATGTACACTGTTTTTCTAGACATAAAGCTACTGCACACTTAATAGACTACAGTACACTGTAGATACAACTTTTATATGTACTAGGAAACCAAAAAATTCATTTGACTGGCTTTACTGAAATATTTGCTTTATTGTGGTGGTCTGGAACCAAACCTGAATATCTCTGAGGCATGCCTATTATTTCAAACCCAAAAAACATCACCCCTCATATGCTTCCAAAGCAAGCAGCACATACCAAGAAAAATTCACCTTTGGTTTTGCTTCGGAAAATTAACACGTTGCCGTGTGAACGTTAGAAATCAAGGCAGTAAAATGTTTGTGCGACATTTCAGAGCTGACCTTTACAAACAGTTAAATAACTAATATATGTGTGTGTTGGGAGGGGGGGACAGGGCTATGTACCCACGTGAAACAGCAGTAAGAAACGATCTCTTTTAGTTAACATTACACAGGGCTTGTAAATCTGTACAAGCAAGGGCTGAAGCAATTTAGTGAATCTGATTGGACACTATTAGCTCTGTTCATTGCTGAGGTCCACAGGGAAACTCAGTACGCTAGTGGTCAGATTTTTCTGATTTATAAGAAGAAACAAACAATTTACATTTCATTCCTGGCTTTTCAATCCTAAACTGGTAACCACAGGTCAGGCAAGAGAGCTTCCTTCCATATTCAACATTCGTGGAAGGACATGCCACACAGGCCTGCCTGGGTTTAAATTTCTATCAGCACTCAAATTCCAAATAGTCCTCTAAGCAGAAAGATAACACATCTCTGGAAGTGAGTTTGGAAACATGGTGCTTCTTGGAAGAGTGGGGTAGAACATCTGCCCGTGGTTATAAGAACTTTATCCAAAACAGGGTCCCCAAAGGAAGCAGGAGCTCTGACAGAAAGGGGGAAAATGAGAACTTAAAATATTATGAAAACAGGGGGTGCCGGGGTGGCTCAGTCGATTGAGCGTTTGACTTTGGCTGAGGTCATGCTGTCACAGTTTGTGGGTTCAAGCCCCGCGTCAGGTTCTGTGCTGATACCTCAGAGCCTGGAGCCTGCTTCCTATTCTGTGACTCCCTCTCTGTCTGCCTCTCCCCTGCCCACACTCTGTCTCTCTCTCAAAAATAAATAAACTTTAAAAAAATCATGAAAACAAGTGTGTAAATAGGCTCAAAAGATCATTAACAGAAGTCTATTTTCCCAAGACCATTCAGGATTAGGCTAATGTTCTCTAGTATTTCAAGTTCACAGCCAATTACTAACCACTGGCTTTTAAATAAGTTATTTTTTAAACTTTTTGATAATTACGCTTGATGTAGCTAACTTTGTGTCACACACCAACAGCCTGGAGATGCCGATTTCAAAGGTAAAAGAAATCTAATTCCTTCTAGAAGAATTATGAACATCTTATTGATTCGGTCGCTCATTTATTGTAGAGATGACCAATCTTGGGTTTAGACAACAAATGTCTATTACCTGCCGTGACGTCCCTCGCTGGATGTCCGGGCTGGGAGAGGCTCAGCTTGAGTTTTCCATCATTTAGAACGAGGATGAGAGCCCCTGACCCGTGTTTTAACTGACTGCTCAGCAACAGCCCTGCTCTGTTCCACGTCCGAAACTGGAAAGCGGCTGACACCTTGTCATCTCCAGCAGCTCCCGGGAGAGCCAAGTAGCTGCTGGAGCTCAGAAAAGTCACAGGGACAATGTGAGGGTCGGAGCACGAATAGGACACATTTCCCTGCGAACACAGTGAAAGACGATTTAGGAAAGTGCAGGACGGATGGTTCCATTTCATGAGCGAGGCTTTTCCACAACTTACACTTTCCCATCAACCTTCTAGCAAACTAGGTCTTTCAAAACGAGGCTTCCCCATCAAACGTAAGTCCAGATTTACCTTACGGGTCCCTCAAACCGCAGCACTGCCCTCGCAGGGCAAACATATTTCTGAATCTTTTTAAAAAAATGTTTATTTATTTCTGGTAGAAAGAACACAAGCAGGAGAGAAGAGAGAGAGGGAGGCACAGAATTGGAAGCAGGCTCCCGGCTCTGAGCTGTCAGCACAGAGCCCGACATGGGGCTCGAACCCATGAACTGTGAGATCATGACCTGAGCCAAAGTCGGACGCTTAACTGACTGAGCCACCAGGCGCCCCTATTTCTGAATCTTTTAGGGGAGTTCTGTCTTCTTCATTTCTGGGCGTTGGCAAAAGAATCTCGAGCCACATCTTTCCCAGACCTCATGCTGGATGTGGGATACACCAAATGTGACAGGTTTCTTCCCTCAAGGTGTTAGGTGTTTATAGCAGGTACACAGCCCAGCACCAAGGACCACCTTCTCCAGGACCCTTTCTGAACTCGCCCTGGTTATGTGAACGAGCTTACAGCTGTGTCACTCAGGTGACACATACGTCTGCCTCAGCTGGGCAGGGGGCCTCCGCGGGTCCGAAGGAAAGGACATGGTCAGGTGGCCGTTCCAACGGCAAGCAGGCTGCCTCTCAGAGGCTCTCACAGGCCGTGTCGCCCAGGGTGTTCACCCAGCCTGAGGTCTGAACCACCCGGCAGGCTGTTTTTATTTTTATTTCATTCTATTTTACAAAATAACCCATACCTGTTGTCTGTAGATTATGTCTCTTGCTCCAGGAGCAAACTTATTTTTAATCCTAGTGTTTGGAAAAGAAGGAACTTAAGTTCTTAATGTAACTCCAATGAAGATCTCTCTGCTAGAATTTTCCCCTGGGATTGGATACATTTTCATAAATTCCAGAGGAGTATGTACCTAACCATTGCCATTTCTCTCCAAAATATATCATGCAAAGACACACAGTGAAATGGGTCTTAACTCAGCAGACACGAAAGCACGCACACCATAAAGGCACTGTAGTCAAGTCAATATGGGATTGGTACAGGAGTAAACATAGCAGCAGAGCCCAATAATTAGCCCACAGAAGGATCTGAGAATATATGTACAGTCAGTGTGCAATAAGAGGTACAATTCAACCTAGGCACCAAAGGTTGGGCCTAGTTACTAAATAGCGCAAGAATAAATGGTTGTCCCTTAGGCATAAAATAACAGCTCATCCACAGAAAGAATAAATCCTAGACAGTCAAAGACTTAAGTATATTTTTCAATGATAAAATTAAAAAAAGAAAACAAAACAGCTTAGAACTTTTTACTGGAAAATCCATGAGACTATATCTAGCATCTAGGGTTTTAGAAACATTCCAAATACTACAAAGCTACAAAAAAAAGATACGTAGACACACTGACCACATAAAAATAAAAACGGAACATTTAATATATAACATTTAATATAAAAGATACAGTATATAATTATATTAGAACACGATTTCCTATTTAATATAAAATTGATTAATCTGAAAAAATCGGTGGACCATGAATGACAAAGGGCCATCTACCAAACATAAACTCTCTTATAAACTGACAAGGAAAAAAATTGTTTAAAAAATTAAAAATGAGCAAAAGAGTAAGAATCAACAGTGATCAGAAAAGCAAATCCAAATGGACAAAAGATTATTTCATTCATCGGTAGTCAGGTAAACATGGAGTAACCATCAGATATTAGTTCATGTCCATTGAGCTGGCAAGAGTCTGAGAGCCGTTTGACGCCGTTTGGATGGAAGGGCTCTGTCATACACTGCGGATGACAAATGTCCTCTTACAGTTTTGGGGGGGCAAACGACTCAACAACACTAATTGAAATTTAAAGCCATATAAAACTTTCAGGCAAGAAATTCTACTTCTGAAACTTTTCCCATCAAAATAAAAGACCCGGCCTCTGAAAATAGAGGTGCGATTGCCTGTCTGTGGTAAAACAGAAGCAGAGATAAAGCAAATGTCCTGATTAGAAAATGACTTTCCTAGCCGCAAACTGAGCAGCCGTGACAACACAGACCTGCACCTGGTGACTGAAATGAATTTCTACAGGGTTTAGCTGAGTCGGAAAAGCGAGATGGAGAAAAGCTTACATAAAATGATCCTATTTCTGTAAACAGTGCTGGAAATGGAGGCATCTACATTCACAAATATGTGTGTGACTCTGGGTGCACTGATCTGTAGAGGATTCGTCCAAACATGGATGGACAGACGCTGGCTTAGTAACACGCCAGCCTGGGCGAGGGCCGGCAGCCACGTGGATGGACGGAATTGCAACAACACTCCACTCCACCTTAGGCGTTAGCTTGCTTCCAGATAACACGCTCCTTACTTGCTGACCCACGTCCCTGCCTCCACAGCAGTTAGACCACTGGCCTTGAAGAAAGAGGGACCCGAACGTTCCCAGCCAGCCTGTTCAGAGCCACGTCCGCTTTCTGAGCTGCCTAGCAACTTTTTTTAGCGGGATGGTTTTCTTTTGTGAGTCGCACAAACGCTTTTACTAACCTCCCCTTGTGTATCTTGCAGAAACAAGGAAGCACTCTTACACATCACAAGACAGGACCAGACACCCTCGCACAGTCCCTGAGCACCGAGATAAGGTTCCAGACTGGTGTCATCGAGTCTGCACGTGCTCAAGAAATGTTGCCCGCCACTGCACTCCCTTTATCGATGAGCTATCCTAAAACCCCTCTAAGCGAGCCTGGGCCAGGCAGAGAGCTTGGAGTTGGCTTTTGCACGAGAGTCCACCTTCTCCCCAGGTTGGTGGTCTCAAAGTAAATAAATCTCACATTCCTTTCTAATCAAAATTCACCTCTTGCGTATTGGCCTTTCGAGCAAGCAACGGGCAGCTGAACTTGGAGTATGGGAGTTCGGTAACAGGAGGAAGAAGCGAGAGGAAATCAATCACAAACAAAGACATTGCCTTAAAAAGTTTTTATACAAACTCACTGTGACTAACTGGAATTAAAATTTTTGTAAGTAAGTTACATTTTAAAAAGTAATCAACTCAAAAAAAAAAGTAATCAACTCATGAACATGAACTAAACATGAACTAACAATTATACATGACTGGTAATTTCTCTGCCTGCAGAGGAGGTGTATCGTAAAAACTTGAACCAATCAGGCAGGTTGCGGCTCTCCTTCTCTCTTGACCTTGTAAGTAGACTGTCTTACCATGACAAGGATCTGTGGTTTGCGTTTCTTGGACAAATCAATGATGTCCACTCCATTATAATAGAGATTTTCGAAGCAGCCGCGAAAATTTTTATGTGGGAATGCCACTGCTTTTCCGTGTCCAGGAATCCCTCCGAAGCTGATCTTAGAAATAAAAAAATGACATTAATAATATTGTTTAATGATTTTCAGATTGTCTGACTAAGACATTTATGAGGAGCAGGTGTAGGAAAATTTTCGCAAATCTATCCAGCATTATCTTGCGCTCTCGCGTCAACTTCAAATGAAGTTTTCGATGTAGATTTAGCAATGCTTTATTCTATCTAGATAAACAGGTTGAATACCCTTCTTGCAATCGGCTGCTCAAACGATTCTGTCTCCTTAGTAGAGGAGAAATATCGCACATCGATTTCAACGGTCACTCTTGATCTGTGCAACAATACAGCTGACCGTGATGACATTCTACTTTATAAACCTTTCTAGAACCCAGACGTTAGGGTCCTGGTCTTTGCCGTGACTCTGCTGATAGGTTAGGATAATAAAGCCATTGCTAATCTCATTCAAGGCCAGGCTCTCCAGCTGGCCTCCCCTGCTGAGGCCACTTATACTAAATGAATGTTGAAATCATCCCATTTGCTCTGACAGATGTGCTGAGCAGAACTGGCAGAACGAAAGGGACATTTCAGTGTGGGTTCGATACGTGTAGGCAACACACCGCGAATACGTTAAGCCTTTAAATATCCCAAGAAATGGTATTTCGAATCGAGCACGTTTGTCTCTCCTGCTCCTCAAAAAATCAGGTTGGAATCTATATCATTTAGCCCAGGTACCCTAGATGGCTAATTCTGGATAGGACTGCCCTGAACCACAGACAAATCTCCAAGGTAACTGCTGACATCCGACACCAGATGTAGCACAGAAAAACTGTCTGAACAAATGCATTTTTAAGCGCTGCCTGTTGTACTGATAGCTGTTCATGCACACATTTCCCAGGTTTCGCGCCCACTGCCTCTCTCGTGAAAACCAACATCGAGGAGTGATAAAACGCCTCGACGGCACGTGGGAAACGCTTCACCAGAACTCCGAATTGCTAGCCAAGAGAATGTCTCTGTGTCATGGTGTTTTCCTAGAAGGCCGTGTTGCATTTAAGTAATAAAATCTGTAATATTTAGGAAGTAATTATCCCACCTCATCATCAAGATCCAAGTAGCGGGACTCGCCCTTTGCCTGGAAGTGCTGAGTGTGCCTGTCCACGGTGAGGTTGACGTGTGTGTTCAGCAGCTCCAGGAGCAGAGAATGCCAGTGCAGGTCGTCCAGCAGGCTGCCCAGGGTGAGGGTCACACGGGCGTCACGGGGGGGCAGGTTAGCACGGCCTGAGAGGACACGCGACGGAAATGAACCACTCCAATTCAGCCCCCCACTGCCCCGCAGAGGGGAGCGCTTCTCACAGCTGCACTTCCGTTACCCCCTCCTCCCCCACAAACCGGGCGGCTGCTCTGATCTTACTCCTACAGACAACCTTCTCTCACTCATGAATAAATTCTTCGGCATTTCTTCTTCTGATTTTTAAATATTTTATTTATTATTGAAAGACTGAGAGAGACAGAGTGCAAACGGGAGGGGCAGAGAGAGAGGGAGACACAGAATCGGAAGCAGGCTCCAGGCTCTGAGCTGTCAGCACAGAGCCCAACGCGGGGCTTGAGCTCACCAACCGCCAGGTCATGACCTGAGCCGAAGTCGGACGATTAACTGACTGAACCACGCAGGCGGCCCTTGTTTTTACTATTATTAGTTTTTGCATTTTCATTTTTCTTGACAATATCTTCTTCCTGGGACCCCATTTCTAGTACTACCTCAAGAATTCAATGGTCCACTCTGGTCTTTATAGTATTATCAGGCTGCTTACTGAATAAGCACAAATGGTCATTTACAGTTATCAAGCTTTACAGCTTTTTACAGTAAAGTATATTCAAGATATATTCATGTTGCCCATAGCACATCTCAACCAGAGGATAATGATGTTTCCGTTTGCGGTTTCAGTTCTGGTTTACACCTGTTGCTGCAGAGTAACTATTTACAGGGTCTTCTTTCTTTCTCAAAAGTGTTCTGGTTGGGGCACCCAGGTGGCTCAGTCAGTTGAGTGTCTTACTTAAGCTCAGATCATGATCTCACAGTTTGTGAGTTCGAGCCTGGCATCGGGCTCTGTGCTGACAGCTCAGAGTCTGGAGCCTGCTTCGGATTCTGTGTTTCCTTCTCTTTCTGCCACCCCTCCCCCTCCTCTTCCTCCTCCTCCTCCTTCTCTCTCTCAAAAATAAATTTAAAAGCATTAAAAATTTTTTAAAAGTGTTCTGGCTTCAGGAAGAATTAACCAACTGTGAAAAATTAAGCATAAAAAGATACTTTCATCTAAATAAGCTCATTTTCAAAAACACCACCTTGTAGTTTTGTACCTGAATTAAGGGATAAGATGAGTCTTCCTTTAACTAACTCCAGGGTGATATGTTTGCCATTTTGTCCTTCTCTGTGAAGTAGAATCCCATCGGTCTGCCCGGTTTTAAATTTCAAAGAAATAACATCTTTTGATGGATTCACGGGTTTCTGATTCAATGTGTATATAAAGGAGCTCTTTCCATCAAAATTAACCACCTCGGATCCTACAGTGAGACATTAAAAAGAAACCTAAGTACGACATATCTTTATTAGTGCACTGAGATGTGTAAGTCGACACACACGCACGCAGAGGGAAAATGTGCCAATGTTCCCTTCCTACCAGTAGCTGATATCCCTAAACTCCACTCTTTGCCTTTTCTGACATTTCCTCCACAATGTATCATCTGGAAATACTTGTGTTGACTAAGTCCAATTGCTCCTGCCTTTCTATTGGCCACTTCTCATCCTGTAAAAAATGAAGATCAGTAAAGAAGCTGAAGTCACTCCCCGCCACAGCACATCATCGCTATGAAGCCGCCGTTTTCTCTCCACTTTCTGGCAGTTTCCTTTTTCCATCTATCAAGGTCCCTTGAGTTCTGTCTATTTGAAAAAGTTATATTTTATCATTAAGAAAGAAAGAACATCAGTCAAACCAGCTGAAGAGAAAACAAGAGATGCACAAAAGGATTCATATTACCCAGAAAAGTCTGGTTTTCGTATCTCACAAGTCAAAAAGACAAGACATTACTGTGCCTTTAAAAAGACAAATACCATGTGATTTTACTCGTGTGTGGAATCTAAAAACAAAACAAATCAATACACAAACAAAAAAAGCACGGGGCGCCTGAGTGGCTCAATCGGTTAAGCATACGAACTCGGCTCAGGTCATGATCTCACGGTTCGTGGCTTGGGGCCCCGCGTCGGAGTCTGTGCTGACAGCTCAGAGCCTGAACCTGCTTCAGGTTCCGTGTTTCCCTCTCTCTCTGCCCCTCACCTGCTTGCACTACTCTGTCTGTCTTTCTGACTGTATGTCTGTCTCTCTGAAAAATAAATAAATGTTAAAAAATTAAAACAAAAACAAACAAACAAAAAAGCAGAACCAGACCTATAAATACAGAGAACAAACTACAGTTGTCAAAGGGAAAGGGGTGAGGGGGTGGGTAAAATGGGTGGAGGGCAGTGGGTACAGGCTTCCAGTTATGGAACAAATGAGTCATGGAATGGAAGGTACAGCACAGGGAAAATAGTCAATGGTGCTGTGATAGTGTTTTATTTACGGTGACATACAATAGCTACATTTGTGGCGAGCATAACATGACCCATACAGTTGTTGAATCACTATGCTGCACGCCTGACACTAACACAGCATTGCGTGTACCTTACGCTCAAATAAATTTTTTTTTTTAATATTTTTATTTATTTCTAGGAGAGAGAGAGACAGCATGAGCAGGGAGGGTCAGAGAGAGAGGGAGACACAGACTCTGAAATAGGCTCCAGGCTCTGAGCTGGCAGTCAGCACAGAGCCCGACGCGGGGCTCGAACCCACAAACCGTGAGATCATGACCTAAGCGAAAGTCGGACGCTTAACCGACTAAGCCACCCAGGCGCCCCTCAAATAAATTTTTAAAAATAAAATTCTATTTATTTAAAAAAAATTTAATGTGTATTTGTTTTTGAGAGTGAGACAGAGCACGAACAAGGAAGGGGCAGAGAGAGAGAAACACACACACAGAATCTGAAGCAGGCTCCAGGCTCCGAGCTGTCAGCACAGAGCTTGACGTGGGGCTCGAACTCATGGACTGCGAGATTATAACCTGAGCCGAAGTCAGAGGCTCAACCAACTGAGCCACCCAGGCGCCCCTATTTACTTATTTTTAAATGTTTATTTCATGAAGAGAGAGAGAAGAGAGGGAGTGAAGGGCAGAGAGAGAGGAAATTGAGAATCTCAAGCAGGCTCTGCACTGTCAGCACAGAGCCTGATGTGAGGCTCGATCCCACGAACTCTGAGATCATGACCTGAGCCAAAGTCAAGGGTCCAGCGCTTAACTGACTGAGCCACTCAGGGGCCCCTAAAAAGAAAAAAATTTAAAACACTGATGTATAATAAATAAAGGTGTAAGAGAAAGCCAATAAAACAGGAAACTTTAGATTCACATACACAGTGGAAAATATATAAACACTGCAGTCTGTCTAAAAATCATGTAAACATGCAATTATTCTCCATTGCATAATTAAATGAATGTGCCTGATAAAAACATAACCCTTTGTCAAATCCAAACAATATCCTTTAGCGTGTTCGATGACAGTAATGCGAATTTGATAATGAAGGATTTAAATGCTTTCACATTTTACTAGTGTAGTTTTTCTGCAGGCACGTCACTGAAAGGCAATGGTAACAATTAAGGCTCATTCCTGCAGTTAGCGGATAAGAACTGTTTGTTCCATGAATGATTTTGTCGGGATTATTTTGACCAGGTAGTTTGGCCCTCAGCTTTCCTGGTCCCACTACTGCTTTGTAAGTGTAATATTGACCTTCTAGGGATAAGAACATTCTGGAGTGTGGGGTAAACACAAATTGCTGGGCCCCATCTTCAGAGTTCCGACTCTGCTGGTCCAGAGGTGGGGGGGTGGGGGGGATGGAGACAGAGAACCTGCACTTGTGACATGACCCCTGGCCATGGTGCTGCTCCTGGTCTGAGACTACGTTTGAGAACCACTGCTCTCAAGCACCTAAATTCTGTTTCTGGAACATTCTCCTCAGGCAAAATGGAGTAGCAAAAAATTTATTGGATTTATAGAGAAGAATGGCCTTAAAACCCTTTAATGTTTTCAGCTTTCTCTCCAGTGAGATCACTAACGCTTGGACCTAGAACAATCAACCGCATGTTAATCATCACATTAGATCTTATGAGGCAGATTTAACATGTATTTTGACAGGTCTTCTAAGCCCATAAAGTAGCTGGATTATAATCTATCTAGGTAATCAACCAAGTAAAGCAAAACCACTTCAAAAATATATCCTGGTTAGTTTGACTAAAATCTTTTTTTTAATTTGTTTTTTAATGTTCATTTTTGAGAGAGATTGAGAGAGACAGAAAGACAGAGACAGAGCATGAGCAGGGGAGGGGCAGAGAGACAGATGGAGACAGAATCTGAGGCAGACTCCAGGCTCTGAGCTGTCAGCACAGAGCCCAACGCGGGGCTCGAACCCATGAACTGTGAGACACGATCTGAGCTGAAGTTGGACGCTTAACCGAATGAGCCACCCAGGTGCCCCTCCCTAAAATCTTAAATGGTAACAAATTTAAGCTCAATTTAGGGAGGTGAAAACACAAATGAAATTCAGGAATTGCTCTTAGAAGTCTGGAATGTTAGGATGCTCCTTCTCTTCATCGGAAATGATCCACGTCAGTCAGCAGCCTGTACAGCCCCCATGAGCTACTCTATAAAGGTTTGTTAAAAAACAAAGAACTCCGGCAGGGAGCATACATGCCCACCGAGCCTGAAATGTGTGCCGTCTTGCCCTTTACAGACGCTGGTCCATCATCTACTCTGAGGATCAACCGGTCACAGGCGCTGTGCTGGATTCCTCATCGTTTCCAGGTGACGAGAACCAGTTCACGGCCAGACGTTTTGTGATCTTTCTTTGATTTAAAAATTAAAAACCCTATTTTAGATGGGAAATCATGTATTTAGTTATTTTTTTGATCTGCCACTGCACAATTCAATACACTTCATTCGTGGCTCTTCTTTCTTTTAATGTTTATTTATTTATTTTGAGAGAGAGAGAGAGAGAGGGAGAGAGAGAGAGATTGTGCATGCATGAGCAGGGGAAGGGCAGAGAGAGGCAGAAGAAGAGAGAGCATCACAAGCAGGCTCCTAGCTGTTAGTGCAGAGCCTGAGAGGGGCTTGATCTCCTGAACATGAGATCACGACCTGAGCCGAAATCAAGAGTTGGACGTTTAACTGACTGAGCCACCCAGGCGTCCCCATTTGTGACTATTCTTGAATGTATATTTTTATAAGGTGAAAAAAACTGGTAAATATTTTGGCTCCTGCGTAGTATTATAAAAGATTGGCTTCATATTGACAGGCTTCCGTAGCTTCAAATTCCACATTAGCAGGGATTTTGCTTTGGCAAATATAGTTTTGTTATTAAAAGACCATTTTTCCCCATTTTCCCCCTCCCCCCCTCACCCCTGCCTTGACTTCATTTTCATTCATTCCCAAGTGCAGCTGCATTTTCATTTAATACTGATGTAGGCCCATGAGATGCCACACGGGGTTGATGCTGGGATAAAACAGAAGTGGACAGACGAGATCTGCCCCTCCCAGAGCGGACAGTGCTTTCCCGTCTTCCCACTGCTGCTCTCATGAAGGAGCGTACTTCTGCAGAAATAACCTAGTCTTACTGTGGGACTAAGAAAATTAGTGACAAGGAAGCCAGTTGCAGTCAAGATGAAGGAAGCAGGGGTGAGAGGGCTTTCCTCTGGGGAAGCATCTGGAAAGAAAGAATGTAAACATCTTCCCCATCACATGGTACCTGTCACAGGCAATGTACAGACAGGCACCAGAAAGAGGCCACCAGGGCCCGGACACTGGGCTCTCCTAGTAAGCGAGAAGCCCCTCTGTGAAGACCACGTGATAAACAGGAATACACATTACCACAAAGGTGATTGACAATGGGAATATTTAGCCTGCAAACTCCATGACAGGCCTCACCAAAGAGAAACAATTCTATAAAATGTCATTTACTTACAGATATTCAAAGGCCAATTTGAATATCTGAAAACAAATGGACAAGTCGGCACATCTAAAATCATATTTTTTTTTATTAAATATTTTTATTTTATTTCTAGGATAGAGAGAGACAGCGTGAACAGGGGAGGGTCAGAGAGAGAGGGAGACACAGACTCTGAAACAGGCTCCAGGCTCTGAGCTGGCAGTCAGCAGAGAGCCCGACGCGGGGCTCGAACCCATGAACCGCGAGATCATGACCTAAGCGAAAGTCGGACGCTTAACCGACTAAGCCACCCAGGCGCCCCTAAAATCACATTTTTAAACACGTGTCGCTCAAACACAATTTTTAAAGGAAACAGATTTTTAAAAATGAAACCAAAACATCATATTGTGGGATAGAGAAGGCTTAGCTTGATGCGTCAGCAGTAGTGAGCGCTCCAAGTATAGATGGGGGGCAGTCCGAGGGTCCTCAAGCCTCAAGCCC